TCGCGGTGGCTTCTGACTGTGGCGCACGCCGTGCTCGAAGAGCCGGCCGGACGTTCACATGCGACATTGGTTGCGCTGCAGACTCATGCACACTGCACTGATTGTCGATTGCGCGCTGAGGTTTTGCGCATGCGTAGTAGAGTGATCATGGAAGGGTACGTGATAAAGATGGTGGCGAATGCCGACTGCTTCCATGGCACCGCTTTAGTAGCTAGCTAATTGTGCTCCCCTGCTTAGTTCTTCAAAAGGCTTGGGAACTATAGGCTAGGTAGCTAATGCTCTGATATTCCCAGCAATGCTCCAGTGGAGTTGTAAGACTTTGCGGACACAGCTACATATTCAAAACAGCTTCTGTCACAGCTTTGAACACAGGAACTGAAGCTGCATCGTGAGACTGCAGAGAGCTTCAGGATAAGCCATCATGCGCGGGGAAGCACTTTAACTTCAGAGTTTCCTGTGGTACATGTTCCTCCCTCGTCGTTTGAGCCACCCTTGATTAGTAATGCGCAAACTCCAGGTTTGGCAGGCATGCCCAGGTTATGTGTTCACTGCCGCAAAGTGAAGCCTACGATTACCTAAATTCACAACAACTAAGGCATGTACTTATTAGCCAACATTAGTTTTGAAACATAGCTATACTCCCAGGGCAAGGTGTTTTAAAACTAGTATAGGTGGTAAATGAGTAAAATCAGGTAACACCACGGTCGCTCTGTTAGCTAGACACCACCGAATAGACATTCGTGTCTTAGCGCGTGCGCATGTGAAATATCCAGGTATTGTACAAGATGACATAACAAGGATGAGTGCAAAGATTCAGTTGATGAGTTAGGAATCATTGAGAGACTGTTTTTTGCATTACCAATTATGACAGAAGATGACGAAAGATGCTTTGCAAGGGGATAGTGATAAAATTTGTGTGTACCAGTGGCAGATTGTGATAGATGAGAAAGCTCAAGAGCGTAATATAAGTCTGCTGTTCAAAATAATTATGCAGGGAGATGAAGATGAAACGAAAGGGTCCTACCCGCCGGAACCACTCGGTGACGACACAGCATCCAGGATTTGGTCTATTTTACTCTCAAGTGTCCTCAATCTCTCAGAAGGTTCTCTGCCACACTTTGCACTCTCATCGCATCTGACACTGTTTCTAGTCTATGGATTCAGACAGAAAAGATAGAACAAATTCAACCCACTTTTGGTGAGCAGGTGAGCAGTCACGTGTACATCAAGGCATGTGCAGTGGCTGTCGTACATTACACTTGGAAACTTTCGCGATTTGGTAGCGAATGAGAATGTTGATTCACTGATTCACTGCACATGTTTTGTATACTTAGCTACTACAGTAGAACCTCCGATAAAGGACACTCCAAATACACCTCTCAATAAAGGAAACACTCTGAGGTCTCAAACACTCACATTTCTAAATTATTCTAGTTAACCTCCAAAGAGAGAACAAACTCCCCCTCAAGATGCCTGGTCCTAACATCTCCCATTATTCAGAGGTTCAACTGTATCCCCACAGATCATGTGACTAGTTTAGCTCTGTCTCCCTGCAGTATACTGTTTTGATTGGAGGCCAATCCTCGATCTCGCCGTGGTTCGTGAATCACAGCTACTTTGTTGCATGCTGCGCACGTGTGATGTCTAGCTGTTTTTAGAGGGCTCACCTCTGCTCCAAAGACAATAGTTTGTCTGAGAGTGTGTTGGAAGCTGCAGTGTCGAGTCCACTTTGGCAAGATATTTGGGCTATCCTTACAGCCTCTTCCCCTGTCCTTTTGTAGAACAGTGTCACACCTACACACAACAAAGTACACAAAAACCGAGCATTATGATACATTTTAAAGAGTGGGCATATACCATAATTATAATGAAGCTAAGCTTTAGGAAGTATAACTATGATGCTTGCTGCCTACATAAGCAAAGTGTGAGTAGGCTCACTCTCATTCGATGCATTAGAGACAGAAGGTTGACATTTTTCATCAAGTGGGACAATCTTTGGCTTGCTCCACTCACTCCACACGTAGTCATTTCTGCTCCGCACCTGCATCGAAACATCACACGGATGAACCAAATATGGAAAATTACACACTTATTCCCAGTAGCTATGTAGTGCTTACCAGAGCATAGACACAATGGGTTGAGGTGTTTAGAGGAAGTGTGATGTTGACTTCCATAGATAGTTGGCTTGCCTGTACAGCAACGAGAGGAGAGGATGCTACGTATGAAACACAAAGACATTGTAAGCAGTATCCATAGAGCAACTGATGAAGCTAAAGTTTGTATGAACTATGATGCTTATAGTACATATAGCTACATGTTAACATTGAGCAACTGCTGAAGCTAGCTGGTGCCTAGTGAGGGAAAACTTACTGGGTGTATGGAGTGATACAATACTGAACCATCTCCAGAGGATTGAGTGACTATATTCACTTCATACTCTGCCAGAGCTCCGTTTGCTGTCAGTGGGGGTGACCAGGAGAGGTCAAACTGTGCCAGGTATCCTTCCTCTCCCCCTCCCTCTCTGTCTATCTCCACGTGGCCCACTGTCAGCTCAGTTACGGGGCTCGGAGGCTCAGGCTCGGCACTCAAAGTACAGGTCTCTGTAGGTGGCACACGTCTCCATAGGTATCCACTGGCCCGCTCCACACGCACCTGCGTGTTACCACACAACATTGTGACCTTGTTTTTCGAGTATGCAGTGCCTTGTATGGCATAGCTACAGAGGCTCTGTGTGTATCTATCTCTATCTCATACTTGTAGTAGCTAGTATGCAGGGCCTTGTACGGCATAAGGCTCTGTACTTACCTCTATCTTATACTTGTAGCTCTGTGTTCTTTGAGGGGGGAAGTTGGCTAACTGCATGCTGTAGTTCATCTCATTCTGGGGGGACAGAAAACAACCGCTCTCATTCTACTTCGTCGCTTCCAATGGATTTCCAGAGTGTACTATTTTACACAGTGGATTGAATTAGATAGCATATACCTGAAATTCACTCTTCTTGTACTAAGCTTTAGCGATGGCAAAAGAGAATGGGAGGAAAGACTGTGTTACCTCAGGAGCTATCCAGTGGCGGGAATATCACTAAGCCTCACAAAGAGGCCAGGCTGGCATGGCAATCAATCAGGAGAGGACAACATGGAATCTGCGGATAGCTGGGAGAGGGGATGGACGGGATACAAGTCCAGTCCGACTGAGATGGTGATGAATCCCCTCTCGTCCCACTCTCTCTGCAATATAGCCTCATTTCAGGATCCGGCTCCACCACTGCGTGATGATGTAGGCGCGTACGAAGGGTAGTGTGTACTCAGTAAATTAAGGCTGAGCTTACGTTCTGGTGCCATGGTAAGTGTGGGTCTGTTTCGATTGGGTCGTTCTGCATTGGTTACTACCTGAAACAAGACAGGGTGAGAATATTACGGTAGCTAGCTAGCTTGCTACAAGCAGAAGATAGAATATTACGGGTATATATGCTAGCTCAAGACTACTAGCTAGCTTGCAATGTTGAGCAGATTTGACTTACAGATATGTGTAGGAGCATCCAAACATGGTACTCCATTGGGTTCTGTAGCACTGACGAGAAACCAAGTTGCATCCTAACAAGGAGACCACACTATTTATAATATACCAGCTAATAATTATTATTATGGAACTTTACTTTCTGATGTTTCGATATGTGTACATGCTGTTTAGCCTCCACATCTCTCTGTCCTTGTGTTATGAAGATGGTATACGACGTTAGGTAGTCGTGGTTGTAGAAAAGAAAGAAGTGTCCATGTAATTGACAACAATGCGGTATAATTATTGTACGATGTAGTATGTTCATACATACCTTGTGGTTTTGGTCCAGGATTATTGGCTGTGGAGTATCCGTGATATGCGCTATCTTGTATCTTCAGCATAGCTAATGTTGATGGCAGTGTGTGATTCACTCGGTGGCCACTTCCAACTCTATCTATAGAGACATTGATGCACTACTACTCTATCCTTTTACACATCCACCGGTGAGTTCAGATACCAATTACGATTGTCTACATAAACTGCCCCAATGCTCCATTCATGGAATGATGTGATAGTTACACATCTATTAACATTTCCCCAGAACACGTCATTAGCAAAAGACTCAAGTCGGATGTCATGTTTCTTAACATGGTATTACACGAGCATTGAAGCATAGTCCTGGCATCCATTTCAACAAAGAAAGAGAACAGGGGCCCATATGGACACGTGAAGGGACAGAGAGAGAAGAAGAGCTGGTTATCTTACTCCATCCAAGCAGATGGTTTGTGCAGGAAGAAAATTCAGAGTGGCACTCTCAGCCACAACAGAAAATGATACTTGGATTTGGTTGCAAGCAAAAGGAGAGAGATCCAGCGGCATTCTGTACATCTTTCTGCAGTCCATTCAAATAACATTCACATACTCTCTACACTCAAGATCAAAGCATAATAATTAATACCTGCCAGATGTAGCTGATGTATTCCGGTTGATCTTGTAGAGGTAGCTGATGTTTGTGGGGGAACTGTTGCTCAAACCTGGCGTTGTTTGCTGGCTAGGCAACAGCAGAGAGATATTGCTCAAAACAGTTTTTCGTAGCACTGTCACTGTCAGGATGACTTGTA